CCCCAAAACCCCAAAACCCCAAAACCCCAAAACCCCAAAACCCCAAAACCCCATTTAAGTAATGTAGAATTGAATTTAGTAAGAAATTAGTTATTATATTGTTGAGGGATATAAGGAAAGGATGAAGCCGAATTTAGATAAAGAAAGAATGTTTAAAATACCAGATCCGGTTGAGACTTGGGGGAGAAGGCAAAAGAGTAAATGTCAGACTGCAAAGAATGATACTAAGTTTAATGGGAGCAAGAAAGATACTGCTAAAGCACTCAAGGTACTCAGATCTAATGAAGTAAAACTAAAAGAAAAGCCCCAACTTGAGAATCAAAAATTTCCAACAAAACAGGAAGCAAATTGCTCAGGAATCAATAAATCGTCGACAGGAGGCACAGTATATGATATTTATATCAAAAGCAAAGAAGATATTTTCTCAAAATCATATCTCCCTCCTCAGCTAGTTTCAAAATTAGGCAAAGCATCTAGAACACATTTTCGGTACAATGGCAATAAGACATTTACAAAAACCATCCAAAAAGGGCTTAAAAAGCATCAGTTTAATATCCAAACCAAAGGCAAATGGAAAACAGTGAAGAACAAGAAGTTATTGGATATATTCACCAAGAGAAAGTCTATCCCTGAGAATTCTAAAAATGCTGTTCTAAATCATGGTTCTACCCAAATATTAGAAGAGCAAAAGACCCAAGAAACAGAAATTAATGAAGAAAAGCTACAAACTAGAAGTGAATCCTCCAATGAACTACCAACCCAGATAAGAAAGGAACTAGGTGGAATTAGGAAACTTTCAACATTTATTACTGAGCAAGTGGATTCCATCCAAAACTGAGCTAAATCTGATACTGGCATAGAAAAAGAAAGAGAGGAAGCAACTAAACTAGAACTCACTAAACTAGAATCCATTAAAACTGCCATCAAAGACCTCTACAAACTTGCTGTGCCTTCTTCTACCCTCAACTCAGATTCAATCTCAACTTCCCTCTCCCTCTCTCCATCTTCCTCACCAAGATTTTCTGGGTCAACTTCCCCTCTTCCTACAACAAGAACGGAAGAAATCCCTGATTTATCCCAAATCAATACCACCGAAGAAGAGGAGGAATCCATAAGTGTTCAAAGCCCAGAGAAGGAAGACAAGCAAGAAGAACAAGTACAAGATGTTCCAAAGGAACAAGAGATTGCTGACCTTGAAGCTGGCAAATGCTTGTTGCAAGAAGATACTTCAGAAATAACAGAGAAAGACACAGAGGCCAGTTTTAATGAGACTAGTGATGGGAGTCAGTGAGATTTTGCATCTGAATCTTTGGAAGAAGAGTCTAAACATACTGTTTTGCAGGATGGTTTAAGAAGTAAAGAGGATCCAACTCGAAGGCGTTTTAACTATCAGGGTCAAATGAAAACCTTAGATAAAGAATCTTTGGATTTGAAAGAAGAATCCTTCACAGTCGAAAGAAATTTACATTTAAGACATCATAAATCATCTCTTGATCAATCATTAGAAGACAATAAAACAGAAGTAAATTCTTCCCAGATTGAGGTTGATGGCTATCAAAATTTATCTGATCCATCGTCAGAAAGCATACTTAATGCTTCTTTTTGAACTCAGGGAACTAATAGGGATATCTTTGAAGTAACCCAAAGTGCTGAATCTCTTACAATTCCCTCTAAAGGCCTTTGAAATTTTGGAAATGACTGCTTTGCCAATGCATCGTTCCAGCTCCTCTTCTCAGTGGCTCCACTCATCAGGTCTTTCCTTGATGCTCACTCTTCAGGCTCCTTTGCTAGTACTTCTGATGTTGAAGTCACATCCAAATTTGCCAGACTTGTCAATGCTTACTGTAACTCAGAGACCAGAGTTGTGAGAGATAGAGCATGCAGAAAATGCTTTAGTGGCCAATTCACTCTAAACTGGCAACATGATGCTAGCCAGTTCATATCTACTTTGTTTGAAAAGATCCAGCAAGAACATGACAAGAATGATTCAATCTTAAGTTTCTCAGAGTACGATACCTGGCAGAGTGCTTGGAAGTTTTACAGGGAAGAGAGAACATCCATTATTGATAAACTCTTTACAGGGTTCTACCAGAACACGTTCAGATGTAAGCATTGATCAGCTGAAGAAAAGAACTTTGAAGAATTCAAAAATATTCCAGTCTATTTTAACGAAGATGAGAATGGTGAGTATAAAGTTGATTTTGAGAAACTTTATAAAAATACAGAAGAAAGTCAGTTCTATTGAAAAACATGAGAAGATATTAGAGACTGCATTATAGAAAAGAAAGTTATGGTTTCTCCTGAGCTATTACTTTTACCTATTCAGAGAATGGATCCTTTTACGATGCAGAAAAGACATGATTTCATGGAATATGAAGAAGATGTAAGGATCTGAACTAGTGAAGAAGGAGCACAAAACTACTCCCTTATCAGCGTAATCTGTCATTACGGAAGCATTGGATTTGGCCATTACACAGCCTACTGAAAAAGACAAGGCACTTGGAAATACTATGATGACGCAAGTGTAGACGAAAGAGATCAAAACTACCTTAATGGAGATGCATATATTTTGCTATATCAGAAACAGAGAGAAATTAAGAATAAATTAATATAGTCAATGCTAAATCGTCTTGTTGGGGTTTTGGGGTTTTGGGGTTTTGGGGTTTTGGGG